TGCCCCAGTGCCACTTCCTCTATCACAAATCCCTCATGACCTGACTTAAGATCGAACCCGGGTCGCTGCGATGGGAAGCTTGAAAACAGCCCTTCTACAATCAGTGAAACATTTCCGGAGACAAACTCACTAGACCAATATTACGGTCTCCTGCGATGTAGTTCGAAAGATGGATTTCAGTGTTTCGGGAGGACCTGCAGAGATCGTCTTCAAGGAGGATATGAATATTCTGTGGCCGTTCTTACGTCACACTGCTGGTCGTCTGCTTCCCACCGCTGCTTCTCGGGTTTAGTCTGAGGCCAGTTCTTGCGGAATTTGTGGTGGACAAACTGGCAGCGAGGTAGGGTTTTCTCCCAGCAAATGATCCACATTGGCCCATTTACCGCCTGAGTGCCAGCGGACATCCTTCCTTCCCAAGTCGGATCTCCCAGCAAACGATCCACATCGGCCCATTTACTGTCTGAGTGCCAGCTGACATTCTTCCCTCCCAAGTCGGCTCTCCCAGCAAATGATCCACATCGGCCCATTTACTGTCTGAGTGCCAGCTGACATCCTTCCTTCCCAAGTCGGCTCTCCCAGCAAATGATCCACATCGGCCCATTTACTGTCTGAGTGCCAGCGGACATCCTTCCTTCCCAAGTCGGCTCTCCCAGCAAATGATCCACATCGGTCCATTTACTGTCTTGAGTGCCAGCGGACATCCTTCCCTCCCAACCTGATTATAGCAGTGACGTCGACGACGACGACGACGACGACGATGATAGTGAGAGTGTTCTGTTATTGTTTCGGCTTTTGCTGTACGGATTAAAGAACCTCAAGATAAAGCCGGCCATAGCCACCTCCTAGAAAACGTTGCATATTCTTCTCGATATTTTCATTGCTTTCAGCGCTACTGTATACGGTTTATGATTCTGTTAAGTTTGTTATTAAACGACGCTTATAATATCCTAACTGTACATATAGCGTCCTGTGATAGGATTCATGATGTATGGTGGTTATGGTGGATTGAGAATTGGCAAAGGAAACCGAAGTACTCGGAGAAAGCCTGCCTCAGTGCCACTTTGTCTACCACAAACCCTGCATGACCTGTCCTGTGATTGAACCCTGGCCGCCATGGTGGGAAGCCCAAATTTGGAAGCGCCCAAATTAAACGAAGAGGAGCCGGAACTGCAGGACAAGTAGCTCTAAGACAAATGGAAATTTACTCTGGGTCCAAGACCGGCCTGATCAGGCTTTACAGTCGTTTGGCACCGCTAGATGTAGCAGTCTCTAAGTGACTAGGCTAGGGGCTGGACAGCCGTGGAACCGGGATTAGATTCTTGGCAAGAACAAAGGATTTTTCTCTCTTCAATAGCGACCACACTGGCGCTGAAGCCAGCCTGCACAGTGGTTCCTCGGAAGTAAAGCGGCCAGGGCGTGTAGCTGACCACTCACATCCACCTAATGCCGAGTTTAAGAATGTTTTTACACACATACTCCATCATATAACTTCATGGAGGCGTGTTTAGTTCAGTAAGCAGAGCTTATAGAAGTATCTTTTACCTTGCCCCTCCGGGTGGATATCTTTAGTAGTTATTTTAACTGCAAATGAGTTTCTACCCGCTGGCAGAGGCAGCACAATAAACCGCAACACACAAAACTACACTTTCACGGAAAGCAAGCTAATGAAATTTGATATTTTAAGTTCTAACAGCTTGTCACCATGAACGTTTAGTCTTCTGGGATGTGACGCCGTGTAGTGTGGTAGTATCTACCATGCTAATAAGAAGCTAACAACTGACATCATATAAATAAAATATTGGCAGTCAGCTTACAACAACGGTTAAGCAAAAGGGAAATATGTCAGATCTAATAATGTTACGGTGTTGAATATGGAAACAGCAGCTTTCTCCGAAACGTCAGTAAACTTCTGCTAGACTCTGCAGCGTAAAACTCCAAAAGATATTCCTCTTTAACAAAAAATCAGTTCCATTTTAAAGGCCAACTCTTTTACGAAGAGGAGGCGCCCGGTTATATTAGTCCTTAACGACTAAGACATGTTCCAGACACAAACAAATTAGAGACAAGACGGTTGTCAGGGCAACAGAGCGTTGTCTTCCCTCTTCAGATGAATAAACGTAGGAAATATAATTTGTATTCTCTGGCTGTACGAATCTTCACAGTACGGTCGCTGGGACTTACCACAAATGTGGTGCAAATGATAGTGTTTAGGGGGAAGCATTGTGGGTATAAAGGATGTACAAGTTCGGGTTCATATACCGTGTGTGGCCCGTAACATGTGTACAGATGTATTCTGTATGCCTATTCAGTAGCTAAATAAACGAAACACATGCAAAGTTAGAGACTTTCAGGGCGATGAACACTCACATCGCAGTCTACGGGAAGTCTTTCAGAGAGGTACGGACGTTTCGGAGGAATATATTGATCCCATTTTGGGGGGAAAACTACAGGGTTCACAATCTAATAGTCTATAATGTAAAATTGTAAATATGCTTTTTGGTTAACTCTGACGCATGAATTTAATATAAATCATATTATGATGATATTATGGAGTGACTACAGGTTAGGTTTGGGTTTCAATTGGGTTTATTGGCCGTTTACACAACTTGTAACTACAACTAACTATAGGGCTATTGCTAATTCGCACACTCTGACATTCACTACAGCACGCAGTTAAGTCTTCTCAGTCTGTTAAAGTCTTCACTAGACGTTGCTTAGTAGCGGCTTCCAACGACGGACGTTTCTCTTCCTCTGGGTTCACGATCTGTCCCCATTTCTCAGCTGCTAGCTTCTCTCAGCAATCCTCTAACCAATTAACTCACCAACCAACTTACTCCACTCCACTGACTGATCCCAGGCTGACGGCCATCTGACGCCAACCTCCTGCTATTCTTACTGCCGTCTCAGCAGTCTTTTCTAATTCCAGATGCCTCTCATTAGTTTTAGCACGGACCGCGCAGAGAACACCGCGTCCAATAGTTCTTCTGCTATTGTGTGTGCGTGTCTGTTGCGGCTATTACCTATCAACGGTCGTTGTTTACAGAGAAATTACTTAGGCTATTGTATAGCTGCTTATTTTGTGGTCGTTTCCTAGCAACGGGTCAACATGCTACAGTATATAAACATTCAGTTTCTTTACAACAGGAAACGCGTTGCTTCTCTGTTCTGTATATACCAGTCTGTTTAACCGAGCGGGTTAGCATAGCGGTAACGTTCTTAACTCGTATTCAAGAGATTCAAGGTTCGAATCTTAGATGGGACAATGGCTATTCTTAGTGAAATTTTTCGTGGTCTTTATCATTCCCTCCTGGCACATACTGAGATAGTACTTCGACATGTCTGTGTCAGATGTCTTAAAGTTGCCGTTTCACAACTCACCCAACAGTGCGTATCTCCTAGAACATATTCGTCAGATATGAGACTCGAGTCTGCTGTCCTGACTGCGGATTTTTGTGGTTTTCCTCTAGGCAAATGCCGAGCAGACTGCTTTTACCGGTTCTCGCGGTCTCTTCGCTTGCGGATATCTTATATTTTTCCTTCTACCCTGAAGATGGAGGCGATACGTTCCTCCGAAACGTCGGTTAACACCACATATACACGGTGCCAAATCCCAGAAGACTGCTTTCTTTATAGTCACCGCCGTGAAAGCCTCAAATCTTATATAATAAATTTATTGTATACTAACATCTTGTTAAGATATTCATCTTATCTCTTCCGAAATATCGTATGTTGTAAATAGACGTAAGACAGTGAAATGAATGGCGGACGGTTGTGACACGCGTTTAGAGGAACACGGTATAAATGAGTGATATTTGTAGCGTCGAATGGGACCGGGTGAGGTGATTGAATAAAGGCTGAAGCGAAATGGAAACGGGCGTGGTCGATTGATTGTAGCTATTACTCAAAGTTTATTAGCGACTTTAATTTATTCTCTGAAGAGAGTTAGCTTGTCTTTATGTATTTGTGTAAATACCGCCTGTACAGAGTAATTAGTGGACAACGAATCTGGAAGTACGTGACAGGAAGCGGCCGTCGCCTGACTTGAGACACTGCCCTGGCATTCGCCTGGAGGGACAGAGAAATACCTACGAAAACCTCGTTTACTATAGCTGGATTCGTGACGAGGTTTGAATCCAGAATTACCATAATACGAATGTATTATTGTGATGGCGATAATGATATTAACAATATTATTAATTTTATACTCACACCCGTGTAACCACAAGAAAACATTACTATTCAGGCAGGATTACTCCCTGTATTAAAACGATCGTGATTGTTCAATAAATGCATTATCTTTCGTGTTTCATAGGTCTACAAGCTCCTACTTGCTTTCCTTTTATTTAATAACAAATCTAGGCATTGTAATGGAAGTATCATACTCGTACTGTTAAAATGTTTGAGCCAGGTAAAATCCCAGAAAACCCGTGGGGATTATTCAGAGGTTTGGAACATATTAATGAGCAAGTGCCCATTAATGTTACATCTTATGGTTACATTTACATAATAAGGTAAAGCTATCACTGTAACAGGCCGTGGAGGCCCATAGGGTTGTGAGACGTCGAGGCTCTCATATCTTATAGACAGTGACTCACAGATGGCGGTGAGGTTGTCAGCCTTACACACCGGCCGCTCTTTACTCCCACGAAGATTCCTGGTACTCATTTCTGTTAGAGACTGAGTCTACCCCAGGGCCATAGTGCGGTTGGAAAATTAGGTGTAATCGAAAATCCAGTGATCTCATCGGGAATCGACTCCGCGATTTTCCGTCTTGTAGCATAGTGCCTCAACCAACTACGCTACCATGTGGCTCGGTTGTATGCAAAATACATAAATACACATGTACGCACTTGGTCAGTAAAACTACAGCGCATGGATTGAGAGGTTATAACTTGGAGTAAATGTTTGTGGAGCGGGTAATACACATGGGATTTGGTTGCTTCGCAGGAGCTAGTGTCCATGCGCGGCCGACGCTCGGCGACCCGACCGACGCAGTACCCAGCCGACCCAGCCAGTGTTAGTTCGAGACCTGACCACCGTTGGGAGTAGTCGCGAGGTATTGGGCGGGAAGACACGTTGGTGTGTTCATTGTGATCGTCCAGACGTATAGCCGGTTCGTGTACTTTTCGTGTGAAAGAAAAGTGTGTGAAGTAGCTTCAGTGAACGTATCCGATTGTGACAGCTTGTTGACGCAGTAGAAAAGCGTGGTGATCCTAAAAACCTTGATGCTGTTGCCTTTGTAAATTCATTTACCCCTTCGTTGTGACAAGTGGGACAAGAAATAGTGTCAAATGTACCTTGTTTCAACTGTGGAGCAATGAATGACGAGGATTCGAAAGGAATCAGTGACTAAGTAAGTAGGCTACTACTAGGTAACATACAATGACGCATAAAAATGACAAGAAATTTCAAGAAGTTATTCAACCCAAATCCAATACTTTATTCACAACAGTCGACTGATTTTGAGCCAGATGAATCCATTCGGCATTCTACCATCCTGTTTCTTTAACGTCCATTTTTATGTCTCCCATCGAGCCTAGTTTGTGCTACATACCCAGTTCATCTCATCCTGTAGGATTTCTTCATTTTAATATTCGGCGAGGAGTGCAAATGAAGAAGCTCATTATCAAGTTTTCCCCATCCTCTTATTTCTGTCCTCTTAGGTTTAAGGATTCTCTTCCGTAACTTAACCACCCTCTGGCTTCTCTCTATGTCAGAGACCAAGTTTCACACCCATACAGATATATCAGATATACGAATAATATGCTGGTTATGAAGAGGGGATTAAATTCGGTTAATGCTTGCTACCATTCAGTCCAAAACCTTTTGTCTTCTATGCGGCATTCTTAATGCATGCGTCAACACAACAATTCTACATGTTTCGACCCAGTTGTGTCATCGTCAGGCTATCTTTACATGAATGTGTCACTCGTTATCAGATTGTTTACTGATATGGATCCAGATCAGTGATTTCTAATTATTCTTCTCTTTCAGTTTCCGTTATAATTTTAATTGTTAAATTTTAAATTATAAAAATGTACATTTCATTTAGAAATGAAATTCCAATTAGCATAAAACTTAAAATTGTAATTCTTAGGATATCTGAAAGCAAATTTTCCGTTAAAGAATTCTAATTACCATTGCAATTTAAAATTTAAAATTGTAGTTCATCTGTTTACTTTTGTCATCATATAAAGTGATGCATATTGTGTAGTGTGGGGGCTTCCTGGGGCTCGGCCGTTGTTCCTTTTTGTTTTCTTAGTGTACAGTGTTGTGTGGTGATATATTAAATTCTGTAGTAATGATTTGTAAGATTATGGTGGAACTGTTTAGTGTGTTATGTTCCTTCGGTGTGGTTCTGTCTGTCATGGCTGCGTGCAATAAACATAGTCTGCTTTCCGAGGTCAAGAACAGGTGGATCTATACATCCACTCCCCATACATCTTCATGGCATAGTGCTGGGACAACTTTATCTGTGACCCTACTGCACAATTGCAATAAAATTTTACATACGTTACGTGCGTGGGGTCCCCAATTCTCGCAGTTTGACCCGTTTCACCGCGGTATAACCTCAGGAGAAAAAATCATTTAAATGTTATTCGGCCCCAGGGTTCAGTGCAAGCTCCTCGTAAAGTTGAAGGCATTCAGATCTGTTAATGATGATTACGTCGTTTCCATAGTCACTGCGCTCAATTACTGCATGGGTCGCTCCGCTTGTTGTTCGCAATTGTTAAAGCCCCCCCCCCACATCGCTAGAGAGACGGCGCCGAATGTGATTGCGTCACAAAATACTCTGAACAAGCCATTGTGAATGGGAACGAAACAATGGAATGACTGTAAAGCGGACCGCAGGAATCCAAACAGAAGTGTCAGAACGCTTGCAAACAGGAATTCTTGCTCCAACCGTAGTTTACAAACGATGTGGTCCATGGGTTCTCAAATTGTGGGTCTGCGACACACTATAAGGAGGGTCGCCGAATTCACAGGGATTGTTGAAAATGCAGCTGGATCCACGCCCCAACTCTAGCAAGTCAGTACGGTTTCAGATGGGTGCTCTCGGTGAATGTACCTGCAGCTGTCTAAGCGTTACATGATTTTCGTCAGTATACAGGAATATTTTATAGCGTTCTATTGATGTAGATAGGCTCTACAGCGATACAGGTTCCTCCTGTCACCGTACAGCCTGGTTAGGTCGATCTGGTGGTAACACTTTCAACTTATATTTGGGAAGAGGTGATGGGTTCGAATCTCGTCTGGGACACCAGAAATTTTCGCTGTTAACTTCAATGCCTCTAGGAGAATGCCGGGATTGTACATAATGTCACGTGTATGAGTGATTATAGACGGGGTTTGGATATTAATTGGGTTTATTGAAGGCCTACAGATCGTAACTACAAGTGAATACAGCGCTATCGCTAATTTACACATACTCCAGTTCACTACAGCACGTACCAAGTCTTCTCAATCTGCTTTGTCTTCACCAGTCGTTGTCTGGTAACGGCTTTCAGCGGCGGACGTTCTGTTTACCCTAGGTTCACGAACTCTCCCCGTGCCTCAGCTATCAGCATCTAACAGAAAATCAGAAGGACTGGACCGCAGCTGTCCACTAACTCACTGACTCACCAACTCCACTACAGTCCACTCAAGTCAAGTGAACTAACACCACTGACTGCTTGTAATATCTCTACACGGATCGCCCAGGCAACACCATTCCACCAGTTCTTTTGTTGTTGCGACACGCAGTTGCACTGACCACGTAGGGAACACACTTTCCATATTAGTCTCTTGATGCATGTTAGGAATCTGTTCCCTGGGAACGGGAGTTGTTTACACGGTCATTACTCAGCAACGGGTCTACGTGCTACAATGATTTAAGGTACTGTTGCTTCCTTCCAGATGCTTTACAGTCATTCATACGTGATCGTAACATTCCACGCTTCGTAGTGTGAGATGTTGGAAGCGTCGGGAAGTTGCCCAGTAAAATAAAAAAGGAATCTGGAACAGTGCCCCCAATTATACTTGTAGTTGACAGGTAGAGGTGCTGGGTGGGGGGGGGGGGGGGGTAATGCGTTAGCGTATAACCATTGAATGTAATTTTAACATTAGGGCGCATTTTTTCCGGACGAGTGCGGCCACCCTCCTCCTTCCTGTTGAGGAATTTGAGGGCAGTCCTTCCTGAGAGTTTCGTAATTTTCCTCTCTTCAAGTAAATTCCAGTGAACAGTTCACTAATTTGCTACTATCAAACACAATACAGTCCTACATACGGCATTGTTAACCATGTCGTAAATAAACGCAGTGAACCCTCGCTAATCCGGAGTAATTTGTGGGGGGTTATCCGGATTAAGCGATAATCTGGGATTAATAAAGCAGCAGGTATCCCTAAAAGACATTAAAATCTTGGAATGCGAATAAATGAAAATTTTAATGATATAAGTAGTGCTGATGAAAATAAAATTATTGCTGTAGGGCCTTTATTTAAAAACTATAAATAAATTTATTCATCGATATAAGACTCAGAACTGTACTTGTTTTTGAAAGTAATGATGCAGGTTGCAACAAACTATCTCAAGTTCTGTCTGAACAGACAAGTGACTCATCTGCCTTTCTGCATGCCATGTGCCTATTAAAGTATTGACTCAACTGTGAACAGAATTTTTCATTTCTTTGTATCTCGATCCGGATTAGCGAAGGTTTACTGTATATGTGTGGATGCTTATAATTTGGCCGTTATAATGACTTTAGACTACGGCCTGAATGATGCAAGAATTATGAGTTCTTTCCTGTTTCCTGGTAAAGAATAGCCTTTTCTCTACAGCGTCCAAATCTGCTGTGGGGCTCACCAAGACTCTCACCGTGTGATTCTCTTGTCGGGATAAAGCGACCGGGGCTTCATTGTCACCACTCACCTCGCCCTAGTACCGACGTTAAGAATATTTGCAGATATACTCGTACCTCCAGCAGACTGATGTTAATGGCGTTTTTATTTTATTTGCTTTAAAATAATGTATTCCTGGAAGCGTAACAATAAAACAGGTTTTATTATGAAAAAAGCAGTTTTCTGGGATTTGGCACCGTGTATATGTGGTGTTAACCGACGTTTCGGAGGAACGTATCGCCTCCATCTTCAGGGTAGAAGGAAAAATATAAGAAATCCGCAAGCGAAGAGACCGTGAGAACCGGTAAAAGCAGACTGGTGCTACCCTGAAGATGGAGGCGATACGTTCCTCCAAAACGTCGGTTAACACCACATATACACGGTACCAAATCCCAGAATACTGCTTTCTTCATAGTCACCGCCGTGAAAGCCTCAAATCTTACGCAGTTTTTATTATTTCGGATATTTCGAATCAGTTTTCAAACGTTAAACCTGGCGAGCGTCAGATTTCTAATACATTTGTTTGTACTTATGTGGGGACTTGCTTAATTAAGTACTGTTCCAGTTGTAATGCTTTCGGAAGAGGCGTTCCTCTCTGTCTGTCTGTCCAGTGACTTGGACTTACCAACACAGCGCACGGTGTTTTCACTGGTTATTTGTTCAGTGATCGACGTTCTTCGCTGTTCTAAGAATTGCTGGTCGTGATGTGGCTCATTGAGAATGCAATGACTTGTTTGTGAAGCTCGTCGAAACGTTTGCATTGCGATCCGTCTGCTGAAACAAGATAACTGAGCAAAAGAAAGGGAGCCAGAAATTCCGGGGATCAGTCTGCGCAGGTCTGTCAGCAACTTGGCATTTAATGCGCGACTTAATGGTATCTGGAAGTGTACTGTGTTCCCAAATTGCAGCATCTGCAATGTCAAGATCCTCTCTGGTGTTGATGTCCGGCTGTTGCAGCCATGCGTTAGCAGAACAAATCAATAGACTCTGCATTGCGTGGAATCGAACTCTGTTATTACAGAAATTAGCAATATATTTGAGACTAGCGGGTTAGCTTATTGGTCTCGCTCTAGACTTCTATACGGAAGGTGGCCGGTTTGAATCTCGGTCGGGACACTGGCTATTCTGAGGTTCAGTATGGTTTTCCTCAGTCCCTTCTGGGCACGCTGCTACGTAGTTGTTTGCGTCACTGTGCTACAAGTCGGAAGGTCGCTGGTTATGTTCCCGATGGGGTCATTGGAAGTTTCAGTTTACCTAATCCTTCCAGCCGCACTTATGGCCTTGGGGTCGAGTCAGCTTCTGGCAGGAACGAGTACCAGTAATCTTCCCGTGGGGAGGGCGTGAGGGTTGGGATAAAGGTTGACCTGCGCATAGAGGTGACAACCTCACCGCCAGCTGTGAACCGATTGTAGAGAAAGTGTGCGAACCTCGACGTCTCACAACCCTGTGGGCCTCCACGGCTTGTTACAGGGATAG